CACCAGGAATCAGAGTTATCCAGACAGCTGGTCAGTTACTCATAGAAACTCACAGCAATGCTGAGAGCATTCACAAATCTCAAGCAAGCTCAAATGAGAGGAAACCCAGGATAGAAGGAAGAAACTACAAGTTTACTCAAGGAAATCTTGGCAGATGGTCTCCTTCAAGCACAGGACTCTTGGAAGGTTAGCCAGGGTCAGGGTGATGGACCCATACCGAAGGACACCTGGGGACACAAATTAAGACTCTATATTCCATATATAGGTAAATATATATACACACATATATAATGTAGTACATTAAATTGGGTGGAGAGCAAAAAGGGGCAGTTCAGAGAAGGGAGGGGCTCTAAATAGCCTCAAATTTTATCTCATGAAAATCACAAAATTCAATAAAAAATTTACAAAGCACATAAAAGCCTCCCAGAAATAGGACTCTAAGTAGAGACAGCAGGTTTATTCTGTAAAAGAGGAAACAGAAAAAATATTATTTCTTACTAATTTTTAGTTTTCTTATCTTACTATTAACTACCAACAGAGTGTTTTTGGTCAAAATAGAGCTTATACTGTAATGTAGGTCAAAAATGAAGAGATTTCATAACCTACCAAAGTATTAAGACTTATAAAGAAGGGTAAACCAATAAACTCTTTTCTTTCTTTTTAACTGTTCAGCCAAGACCTCGCTATGTAGCTGAGGTCATCCTTGAACTTACAGTCTTCCTGCCTTTGTTTCCAAGTGTTGGGGTCACAGACGTGCTGCACCATGCTGGTAACAAACTGGTACTTGAAAGGGAAATATATAAAATTTAATACAGAAAGGACTAAACTATTTAAAAAATTTTTTAAAAAGAATAGCAATGCTCACTAAAAAATAAGTCAGGATGTTTTGTCCGGGGATGTTATTTCATGGCCTGGATTCACATTAAAGAAAAGATAAACAAGGGGATGTATTGGTGTCTTTGTGGACAATAACTTTGTGTTAAATAGCAGTGAGTTCAAAATTCTTTCTTTCTTTGTTGTCAGAGTATACAAAAGGAGAAATGTAATAAGAAGTGTTCCAAATGTGCTTGAAGGAAACAGTTTAATTCTTGGAACATGATTATGGAGAATGTTGAAGGATGCAGTTTATAAATACCAAGTTATTACTGCTTTTGAAAGATAAGAAAGAAGCTAAAGACATTTCAGACTTTCATATAAAGAGAGCTACCAAGACTCATTTTCATTCCTAGATAGTGTCTATAGTCCCAGTGACTCTGGAGGCTGACACAAGAGGGTCACTTGAAATTATAGTATCAAAACTATCCTCATCAACATAATTTTTTTTAATTTTTAAAAATGATTTATTTAATAACAACATACTTAGAAGAAGCATATCATTACAACACAATTGACATATTCAATAACGGTTTCCTGAGGTAGGATGCATCTCTTTCAAAATTGGCTGTAAATTTTTAGGTTTACAGTT